TCCTCCTCCTCCTCCTCCTCGTGTTCTTCTTGTCCTCGCCATCTTCTTCTAATCCCCATCTTCTTCTCCCTCTCCTCCTCGTCACCCTCCCCGTCGTGTCCGTCCTTGTCGCGCGGCTGCCACGTCAGCACGCGCGATCTTTTTTTTTTTTTTTCATATTCTTTCTTCTTCTTCTTCTTTTTCTTCTTCTTCTCCTCCTCCTCCTCTTCGTTATCTTCCTTATCTCCTCCTTGTCGCCGTCTTCTCCACCTCCTCCTTTCATCATCATCATTTTCTTCTTCTTCTTCTCCTCCTCCTCCTCCTCTTCTTCTTCTTTTTCCCGCCATCTGCTTCTTCTCCTCATCTTCCTCCTCCTTTCGTCATCTTGTATTTCTTCTTCTCCTCCTCCTCCTCCTCGTCTTCTTCTTGTTCTCGCCATCTTCTTCTAATCCCCATCTTTTTCTCCCTCTCCTCCTCGTCACCCTCCCCGTCATGTCCGTCCCTGTCGCGCGGCTGCCACGTCAGCACGCTCGATTTTTTTTTATTTTTATTTTTTCATATTCTTTCTTCTTCTTCTTCTTCTTCTTCTTCTTCTTCTTCTTCTTCTTCTTCTCTTCGTTATCTTCCTTATCTCCTCCTCGGCGTCGTCTTCTCCTCCTCTTCCTTTCATCATCATCATCATCTTCTTCTTCTTCTTCTCCTCCTCCTCCTCCTCTTCTTCTTCTTCTTCTCCCCATCTGCTTCTTCTCCTCATCTTCCTATTCCTTTCGTCATCTTCTATTTCTTCTTCTCCTCCTCCTCCTCCTCGTCTTCTTCTTGTCCTCGCCATCTTCTTCTAATCCCCATCTTCTTCTCCCTCTCTTCCTCGTCACCCTCCCCGTCATGTCCGTCCTTGTCGCGCGGCTGCCACGTCAGCACGCGTGATCTTTATTTTTTTTTTCCGTATTCTTTCCTCTTCTTCTTCTTCTTCTTCTTCTTCTTCTTCTCCTCTTCGTTATCTTCCTTATCTCCTCCTCGTCGTCGTCTTCTCCTCCTCCTCCTTTCATCATCATCATCTTCTTCTTCTTCTTCTTCTCCTCCTCCTCCTCCTCTTCTTCTTCTTCTTCTTCTCACCATCTGCTTTTTCTCCTCATCTTCCTATTCCTTTCGTCATCTTCTATTTTTTCGTCTCCTCCTCCTCCTCCTCGTCTTCTTCTTGTCCTCGCCATCTTCTTCTAATCCCCATCTTCTTCTTCCTCTCCTCCTCGTCACCCTCCCCGTCATGTCCGTCCTTGTCGCGCGGCTGCCACGTCAGCACGCGCGATCTTTTTTTTGTTTTTTTCCATATTCTTTCTTCTTCTTCTTCTTCTTCTTCTTCTTCTTCTTCTTCTTCTTCTTTTTCTTCTTCTTGTCTTCGTTATCTTCCTTATCTCCTCCTTCTCGTCGTCTTCTCCTCCGAGTCCTCCTCCTTTCATCATCATCATCTTCTTCTTCTTCTTCTTCTCCTCCTCCTCCTCCTCCTCTTCTTTTTCTCGCCATCTTCTTCTTCTCCTCATCTTCCTCCTCCTTTCGTCATCTTCTATTTCTTCTTCTCCTCCTCTTCTTCTCCTCCTCCTCCTCTTCTTCTCCTCCTCCTCCTCCTCGTGTTCTTCTTGTCCTCGCCATCTTCCTCTAATCCCCATCTTCTTCTCCCTCTCCTCCTCGTCACCCTCCCCGTCATGTCCGTCTTCGTCACCCTCCCCGTCATGTCCGTCCTTGTCACCCTCCCCGTCATGTCTTTCGTCATCTTCTTTTTTTTCTCCTCCTCCTCCCTTTTCTCCTCCTTTTCTTCTCATCATACTCCTCCTCCTCTTCTTCTTCTTCTCGCCATCTTCTTCTTCCTCTCCTCTTCTTGTTCTTGTACTTCTTCTTTTTTTCTCATCGCCCTCCATCTCCTCTTCTTCCCATTCATCTGTCCTCGTCCTTATCCCTTCTTGCACTCCTTCGTGATTCTTCATCTTCTTCCCTCCTCCTCCTCATCCTCCATCTCTTCTTCTTGTTCTTCCCCTTCCTCCTGCCAGAGTCCTCCATGTGTTTTTTTTTGTTTTTTTTTTACATATTTTCGTCTCTCACATCCGTGAACCGCATTGTGCATGCGCAGGACCGCAGCTTCCACGCCTGCCGGAGGCTGGATCCCTGCCACGTGAGATGCTGCCACGTCAGCAGGTGACACAGCGACCTCCACGTCAGCAGCCGCCACGTCATCAAACAGCCCCAGCAGTTGCCACTTCAGCGACCTCCACGTCAGCAGTCGCCACATCAGCGGCTGCCACGTCAGCAGCTGGCATAGCAGCAGGTGACACAGCAGCTGCCACGTCAGCAGGTGATACAGTAGCTGCCACGTCAGCAGCCGCCACGTCAGCAGCTGCCACGTGAGAAGTGGGGGGAGTCAGCACTTCCCACGCTAGCATCCCCATGGTCGCGCCCCCCCACATCGCCGCCCACCGCGTTTGCTGTCTGGTGACATGTCGGACGAGGGGCAGCAGGAGCCGTTCGAGGAGGACATGACCTGCCCAAGGGACCACGTGGTGTGGACTTGGGTGACTCCTGGGAAGATTCTGCCGGGCAATTCTCACGGGTCGAGAAGGCTGCGCTGCAAGATCTGCAACAAGGAGTACAAAGGGAACCGGAAGCGTGCGTGGGAGCACTTCATTCTGGCGAGGGTTTCAGTCAAGTGTCCGGGTTCGAACCTCTCCATTTGGAAAAGGCTGCATCGCATTGGTGCGCAGCTGCCACCGGATTTGCTGGCGAGGGTGCAGATGGCGCTGGAGCAGGAGAGGGATGACAACGACGACGTTCCAGATGTGGCAGGTGCTGGGCCTGCTGGCGAAGGGGGGAGAGGTGGGATTGTTGATCAGCTTGAGGAGCCATGGGTCATCGCAGGCTGTCATGCAGGTGGCCCGCATACGCAGGCCAGAGAGGCAGATGGGCATCAAGAGGTTCACGAAGAACCCACGGCAGGAGGAGATTGATGACTCCTGCTGCGAGTTCTTCGTGGAGAATGCCATCCCGTTCAACGCCGCCAAGAGCAGGAGCTTCGAGAAGTTCACGCTGGCGTGTTACGGACCACAACCTGCAGCGAGCCACCCTCTTGTGCCCACTGGGTACAACCCTCTCAGGTGTCGGTTGCTGGATCGCCTCAACAACAGGTTGCAGGAGGAGGAGCAGGCGATCCGTGACGATTGGCAGGTGATAGGCTGCACGTTCATAACCGATGGGACCACAGACATTTGTGGTCGATCACTTATGAACTACATCCTCGCAGACCGGTCGAAGCCTATTTTCATCAAGTGCGAGGATGTTAGCGAGGGGGACAAGGATTCCGCAGCCGTCGTTGCTGGATGAAAGCGGTTCTTCAGGGAGTGGGGGGTGGAGAAGATCACGGTTGTCTGGACGGACTGTTTTGCGGGCAACACGAGTGCTGCGAGGATGCTGAGGGAGGACCCTGAGTTCAGCTAGATATACTGGATCCCTTGCACCGCTCACTGTATGGACCTCCTCATGCACGACCTTTGCAAGAAGGAGTGGGCGGATGAGATCATCAGCAAGGCGAACAGAGTGGTCAACTTCTTCCGGGTTCACAGGTGGCCCAGATCAACGCTGAGAACGACACTTGTGAAGTTCCCGGACTTGAAATGCAGCTGCCTCCTCCGACCGGCGGCGACGAGGTTTGGGACGCACTACGTGATGCTGCAACGGCTGGAGGTCTGCGAGAAGGTCATTAGACGGATTGTCAGCGGGCAGGAGTGGGAGGCGCAGCTGTGGCGTGGGGACATCAGGGGCAAGGCGTTGTTCGTGGAGGAGGCAGTTCTTGACAGGGCCTTCTGGATGACGTCAAGAAGCTGACTGCAGTCATGAAGGGGCCCTATAACGTGTTGCGCGAGGTGGACAAAGATGTTCATTGCTTATTGCGCATTTACGATATGGCCTGTCAACTGGCCGACTTTGTCCGATCAGCCCCCCTTACCGCAGAGCAGCGAGATGACATGCTCAGGGACGTCGGGAACAAGACAGATATTCTGCTCAGCCCCATCCACGCTGTTGCTCGCCTGTTGGATCCTCAATTGAGAGACATTACTGTATTCAGTGATGTCAACCTCATGGCACAATTTGAGAGTGTGGTCGAGAGGCTCATTGGAAAGAAGGGAAGCACCTGATTCGACGAGTGCATGGACCAACTTTATGACTTCCAGTTCGGGAGAGGAGTCTTCGGCACCCCACAGGCGAAGAAACGAGCTGCGAAGGACAATGCAGTTTTGTGGTGGGAGGCGCACGGGGCGGGGCATCCGGAGATCCACGAGCTGGCGATCAGGGTCCTTTCGATCTGGACGATTTCCTCTCCTGCTGAGAGGAACTGGAGCACTTGGGCTCTGGTGCAGGCGAAGTTCAGGAACAAGTTGCAACACCAGCGCACCAACAAATTGGTGTCCTCACACTGGAGCTTGAGGCTCAAGAGCAGGGGGGATGAGGGGCCCACGATAGCAGGAGGGTGGTTGGGGCTCTCAGCTGACAGGGAGGACGAGGACCTGGGGGGTGATTTGGCGAATGTCTTCGAGGCCGTTGATGACTACGAGCCTGCTGTTGGGGGCGCCAGTTCTGCGGTGGTTAGCACTACTGTTCGCCACGATGTAGCTGGGCCATCGGCATCGAGGTCCATGCAGAGATCAGCGCATGCGGAGGAGGTCGAGGAGGAGGAGGAGGAGGAGGAGGACATTCCCGACGAGGAGTGGGTGGATGAGAGGTCGGACTCCGACAAGTCTTGGACGAGGAGAGACAACGCCCCGTGTGTTGGAGTTACACGATCTGGACTGTGATCCCAGACTCAACCGCGTGGGGAGGAGCAGCAGGTGCAGGAACAACAAGTGGAGAAGCACGAGGAGAACGAGCAAGGGGAGGAGCAGGTGGGGGAGGAGCAGGGGGAGGAGGAGCAGGGGGAGGAGCAGGGGGAGGAGGAGCAGGGCGAGGAGGAGCAGCGGTTGGAGGAGCACAAGGAGGGCATGCAGCAGGGAGAAGAGCGGAATGTGGAGGGTCAGGGGCAGGAGCAGCAAGTGGGGGGGCAACAGGTGGAGGAGCGGCACGGGGAGGGCGTGCAGCATCTCAATGCGGTGCGAGCTTTTTATGGTCCCAGTCGGCAGTCTCCTCTAGTCGGGCAGCACGGAGGACATCCCGGCCGTATATGGGATCCCCTCGCCTATCGTGCTCAGCGAGGTAGAGGGAGGTCTGCTACGGGACGTGGGAGAGGAGGCGCTGCACGAGCTGCAGGAGGCACAGGGCGAGGGAGGTCCGCTTCAGGACGTCCGAGAGGTCGGCCACGCAAGGACAAACGGCCCGTTGCATCACCAGCGGCAGAAGAGTCTGATGACGACTCTGGGGAGAGTGCACCACTGCACAGGTCAAAGAAGAGGAGGACAGAGACCGCTGCAGAGGGAGAGACACAGACGGAGAGAGATTAGGCAGAGAGAGAGAGAGAGAGAGAGAGAGAGAGAGAGAGAGAGAGAGAGAGAGAGAGGCCTCGTTGTCTTTCACATTCCGGACCACTATGCTTCCTGCTTGTCTTTAACTGAGGCCTTGAAAAGCTCCTTTGAAGTGCTTTCGCATTGTGTTTTGTTTGTGTGCTTCCGTCTCCTGCAC